AGGAAATTAACCCATTCAAATATTTATGTGGGCTTTAATTTACTATGCTTTGCAGTCTACACCATTCTGGATTTTGAGATGGTAATATGTTAAGAAAACTGATATACATTAAAATAGTTGTTCCTGAAATAAATAATTTAGAACCATGAAAGGCTGGTTTAATTGACCACAGATTCTTGGTGTCTGCTAAAATAGCCACATTTTGACAAGTCTCTGATGAACAGGTTTCCTATGAAGTTGTATAAACAGTACTAGTTTGTTAGGGGGCTTGGTTCAGTGGCAGAGCGTGAGCTTCGTATGCAGAAAATACCCAGTTCAATCCCTGGTAGCTCCAGTTAAAGGACTCCAGGTAACAGGTGTTGGTAAAGATTTTTCTGTGCTAGAGACATTGGAGGTCCATTGCTAGTCATTTCAGACAATCTTGAGCTAGATGGTTCACCGTAAGACGGTTTTGTTTATTCTTATAACTCAATAGAAAGCTGCACTAATCAAGAGCAATTACTGTGAGGCATAGAGGAAGCTTTATTTGTGTCAATTCTAAAATGCATTAAGTTCATGTATCAAAACCAATACATAAATCACTTGTGCTGTATGTGTCTGATAATTTAACCTTGCATACTAGATAAGAATATAAGAAGACCCTTGCTGGATAAGAGCAGTGGTCCATCTAGTCCAACATACATTTCAGAAACAGCCAACCAGTTGTCTTGGAGGGTCAGCAAACAGGTCATAGTGGCAAACACTTTCCCTTGATGCTGCCTTCCAGCACTAGTATTCAAAGGTTTGTTTCTGCTGTATGTGGAGGTTCTCTTTACTCACCATTGTTAGTTGCCCTTCATTTTTATTTATTTATTTATTATTTTGATTTATAGCCCTCCCTCCCTGCAAGCGGGCTCAGGGCGGCTCACAAGTAGGGCACATGCCAATACATAAAATAGGTTAAAAGCAACATAAAAACAGTCATTTACAATATTACAAAGTGCTCTAGATGTTTCAAATCAGTCTTCAATAAAAAAGATGGCACCTTGAAGATGGTATTCCCAGTTCAGTGGTGTCAGCTCCACGCAGCGCTGTCGTTCACTCCTCACAGGGCCAGTTGGTAATGGTTGTAAAGGTAGTGGCGGCTCCTACTCAAAAGCCTGGTGGAAGAGCTCCATCTTGCAGGCCCTGCGGAATTGCACAAGGTCTCACAGGGCCCGGATCTTCTCTGGGAGCTCATTCCACCAGGTAGGAGCTGCCACCGAAAAGGCCCTGGCCCTGGTTGCAGCAAACCTGGCCTCCTTGGGGCCTGGGATCACCAGGAGATGTTGCGTCCCCGACCGTAGTGCCCGTTGGGGAACATATGGGGAAAGGCGGTCCCTTAGGTACGTCGGACCCCAGCCATATAGATCTTTAAAGGTAAGAACCAGCACTTTGAAGCAAATCTGGTACACTATTGGCAACCAGTGCAGCGCTTTCAGCACAGGCTGGATGTGCTCCCACCTAGGGAGGCCCATCAAAAGCCTGGCTGCAGCATTCTGCACTAGCTGCAGTTTCCAGATTTGCGACAGAGGCAGCCCCATGTAGAGAGCGTTACAGTAGTCTAACCTCGAGGTGACCGTCGCATGGATCAATGTGGCCATGTCATCGCAGTCGAGGAAGGGGACCAACTGCTGAGCCAGCCAAAGATGTTAAAAGGCCGACTTAGCCGTGGCTGCCACCTGAGCCTCCATGGTTAGCGAGGAGTCCAGGAGCACTCCCAAACTCCTAACCTCTGGTGCTGGCACCAAAGGCGCCCCATCGAAGGTTGGGAGAGGTAGCCCCAACCCTGAACTGCCCCGACTCAAGCCCAGGACCTCCATCTTCGCCAGGTTTAGTTTCAGCCAACTCAGTCGGAGCCAACCAGCCACGGCTTGCAACGCCCAGTGCAGATTTTCTGGGCTGGAGTCCGACCAGCCGCCCAACATCAGATAGAGCTGGTTGTCATCTGCATATTGATGACACCTGAGCCCATACCTCCGGGCAATCCGGGCAAGGGGGCGCATGTAGATGTTAAACAACATGGGGGAAAGCACCGCCTCTTGAGGCACCCCACATTCAAGAGGATGTCTCTGGGTCTGCTGTTCCCCTATCACCACCCTTTGTCCCTGACCTTGGAGAAAAGAGGCAAGCCATTGAAGGGCGAGCTCCTGAATCCCCAAGTCGGCGAGGCAGTGGGTCAGCAACTGGTAGTCGACCGTATCAAACGCGGCCAACAGATCTAACAACAGTGACGCCACACCACCCCGATCCAAATGCCTTCGGAGGTCATCAGTAAGAGCGACCAGTACTGTGTCTGTCCCATGCCCTGGACGGAAGCCGGACTGGAAAGGATCTAGGACAGAAGCGTCATCCAGAAAGCCCTGTAACTGCAATGCCACCGCCCTTGCAATACGTTTGCCCAAATAGGGCAAATATAGTTGGCCAATTCGGCCGGGTCCAAAGGTTTTTTCAAGAGAGGGCGGACCATCGCTTCCTTGAGTGCCCCCGGGAAGCGTCCCTCAGTGAGGGACTTGTTGATAATCTCCCTTAGGGCACCTCGCAACCCCTCGTGACCCGCTCTAATGAGCCAGGAGGGGCACAGATCAAGGCTACATGTGGTTGGGTGCAGAGATGCGCGCAATCTGTCAACTTCCTCCATGCTGAGTGGGCTGAAACACTCCAAAGCCAGAACCGAAGACGTGCAAGGGGCCTCAAGTTCACTGACTGTTTCAACTGTGGTGGGGAGATCGCGGCGGAGCGCCAAGACTTTATCTGCGGAATAGCTTGCAAATGCCTCACAGCCGATGTCCAATTCCCTAGCATTTTGCTTGCCCTGTGGCAGAGCCGTTAAAGACTGAACCATTCTAAATAATTGGGCTGGGCGAGAGCTCGCAGATGCAATCCTGGTCACATAGAATCCTCTCTTTGCGGCCTTGACTACCATCTCATAGGATCTCATAAACGTCCTATAAGATGCTCTTGATGCCTCATCACAAGCGCGGCGCCACCATCTCTCTAGCCGTCTCAGCTCTCACTTCATCCACCGCAGCTCCTGGGTATACCAGGGTGCCAGCCTAGAGCGAGTGCAGAGAGGGCGGCTGGGAGCGATCTTGTCGATGGCTGCAGAGAGTCGGCAATGCCAGTCCTCCACAAGCTCATCCAACGAGCCACCAGGGGCTCAGATCCCATAGAGCCATCTGAAGCCATACTGGGTCCATTTGGCTCCTTGGGCGAGCTAAAATCTGCTCGCCGTCTAAACAGGGTTGGGGTGGACCATTCAGACGGGCCTTCAGGGCATAGTGGTCCGACCATGGTACTGCTACTGCAGTAATCCGGTCCACTGTCACCCCAGCCGTGAAGATCAAATCAAGCGTGTGACTGGCCCGATGCGTGTGGGCCGATACGAATTGAGAGAGTCCCAGTGCTGCCATGGACGACACTAGGTCCGTAGCCCGACTGGAAGCCGCATCATCGGCATGGATGTTGAAATCCCCCACGACTACCAGTCTGGGGTGTTCCAATGCCCAACCTGATATGGCCTCCAGCAGGGATGGCAGGCTACTGGCCGGTGCGTTAGGCGGTCGGTACACCAGCCAGATCGCCAAACTCTCCTCAGCTTCCAGCATCAGGCTGACACACTCCAAGCCTGTGATCTCCACGGGTGGGAGCGCCTGAAGGAGTAAGCCTCCCGAATGAAAATAGCCACTCCTCCCCCCGCCCCCTAGTCCGTGATTGGTGGAGGACCGAGAAACCTGGTGGGGCAAGTTGGGAGAGCCACGGTCTCCCCATCCCGCACCCAGGTCTCAGTCGCACACACCAGGTCAGCCCGTTGTTCCAGCACAAAGTCCCGAAGGACTGTGGTCTTGTTGTTAATAGATCTGGCATTGCACAACACCAATGCCAGAGGGGGGTTACCAATCCTGGTCCCACTGCCAACAACCCTTGTGATGGGCCGCAGGTTGGAAGGGCGTCGAGCCATTCTATTTCTCAGCGTCCTTCCCTTAATATGCTACCTGGGCCCACCGCTAAACGTTCCCCTCCTCATGAGCACCGGGATCTGCTGTTCAGGCACTGCTGCCACAGCGGGTCGACGTAGACACTTCAGACCACTAGTGGCCAGCTGAATGCTAGTCCTCCAACAAGAGCTGGACACAATTTTATATTCTCAATGCTGATCGCTAACAACAAACTACCTACTCTGCTGTGAGAAAAAATCCCTAGTGATTGCACTAAAAATCTGTGACCAACACAGTCTACCACAGTACTACCCCAAAAACTATCAACCTGACCTCTAACAGGGGTAGCTTTAAAACTAAACTCCTAGCAATCTAAACATTCATACACACACAATCAGTCTTCTAACCTAACTCTTTAGCATCAGGGCTATACCAATCTCATCCATTGGGGCTCCAGTTCTAATTCCCCGCCTGCAGGGGGGCGGGGTGGCAAAAGAGTTCTATCAGCCTTCCCTGTGGTGGACCTATCCTCCATGAATCTGTGTAACTCTTTTAAAGTAATCTGCACTTGTGGACATCAGTTCATCTGCCGGCAATGAATTCCACTATTGAATTATTCATTGAATAAAGAAGCACTTCCTCTTGTCTCTTTTGAGCCTCTTGCACATCAGTTTCATTGGGTGTACTTAGGCTTACCAAGTACTTACTGTGATTCAGCGGGGGAAACATTTTCCCAGGACCATTCCTGCGTGGACAACAGACGTGCCGCACCATGCTGTCGCCAGGAAGTGATGCTGGGCGACACTCTGGCAATGGGGCTGGAAACTCGATGGTACCATCGAGTTTTCAGCCCCATTGTCAGAGCGTCGCCCAGCATCACTTCCTGGCGACGGCATGGTGCGTTACAGGGAGGAATGTTCCTGCCGGGGATCATGTGTCCCCTGCCGAATCGTGGTAAGTACTTGGGAACCCTAGGTGTACCTGAGTGTTACTAGATGTGGCTCATATACAAATTAAGGGATTTGTAGTTTAAGGCCTAAATGCAGGTGCAGTTGGTTTGGTTAACAGTTGGTGCAGGTCTTTGCTACTCTTTGTTCAGAACTGAGGAGGGTATTTGGGATAGTAGGAAATTCTTCACCACTTCGAACACCACATTCTAAAACATGATATCTCTAGTAATTATTTGGGGCTTGGGACATAGGGCTGATTTAGTTGCAGCATTTCTGTTACACAGATAAACCTAAAAGATTCAGATTTAAACGTGATGTATTTTGTGATATAGACATGTACATTTATACTTTAAAGCTTACTTAGTTATTGTGCAAGAAAATGGAAAAAAGCTTCCGTAAAGGAAGAGGGAGTGCGTGGGGAAGCAGGACTAGTACATGCCTCTTACAGACAGAGGTCTGTGACATTGTTTGAATTCAGTCTTCATGACACCTTCTAAAATGCAAATAAATTTTAATCTTGAAGGTATCTTTTTTGCCTTATTAAACTGTTATTATTTCCACAGCTGGAAACCATCATTATCAGATATTGAGGTGTCTTACTTTTGGAATTAGCAGAAGGGAATTTTCTGGACTGGAAGGAGGAACCCACATATTTAATGAATATTTGATGCAACACAATGCTCAGTATTAAATATATGTGTCTCTCACTTCCCACAATAGTCATATTTCTGGATTTGCATAGAAGCAGCCTCATTGCTCAATGCATTGCCTAAAGAACTTATTTACTTTTATTTTTCCAGTTTGCATACTGTGATGAAGTGCACTTTTAAAAACTTAGAAGTGTGTACAGACAGCTGAAGAACTGTGAAGGGTTAATTCCTCAGAGAGCCTTGAGTGACAGGCTGCTCTAAGGAATCTGATTAGTTAGCATCAGTTGAGTAGAGAAAGCGTTCTGAACTGGATGCTGAGGAGAATTAATTTGGAATTCAGCCCTGACTAGAGCAGTTTAACATACACAGAGAACTGGGGGAAAGTTGGCAAGGAAGTGTGGGTAGTTAGGTGAAGACTCCCATTCAGGCCAAGAAAAGGGAATAGATCTAATAGTGAGAGAAGAAATTTCCCTACCCAGTTAAAACAGGGAAATAGCTCTGAAGAGTGGAGAGATCCCAGGTCTGGTGTAGTTAGAGACTGCCTTGTGAAATCTTAAGAATCAATTAAAACTCAAGAAGAGTACTGGTGTGCTTAGAGAAGGATTTTGGGTACTGGATAGAGTGTCCCAGCCTTCTGGAAACCTAAAGTGAAAATGCATACTCAGAGAAAGTGTACTGGAGTGTTTGGGAAACACTGGAACAAAAGCCTCTCATCTTAAAGATCCTAAGTCACTAGGAAAAACTTATGAAACTCACAGTAGCCTAAAACATATGAACTAAAGTCTGTGCATGTACTGATTTACTTCAGTGTGCTATATTGAGTTACCTCAGAAATTTTACCCTTGTTTTTACCTAACCTTTCCCCTCTTAAGTTGAATAAAATATTATGTTAATTTGTAATTTCAAAACGCTTCAAGTGCCATTTAAGTGTAAGTTAAAGGGGGCTCTCAGTGTTTCCTTCAGGTCCCTGGACTGAACCAACAGCCAAAAATATCATACTGTGATGGAGTGGGACAGTCAGAGTTCTTCAAGAAAGAAAAAAAACATATAGGGCCGCTCAGTCAGAAAGAGAAAGAAAAATGGAGGGAAAATCTTGCCTCTGAGGAAGGGAAGTGGATGGGGGCATCATCCATACTTACAAAGATCTTGTGATTTGTACTTTCAGAGTCAACTGTTCTTTTTATTTCAAAATTGGAGCATGTCGTCATGGAGACCGGTGTTCTCGACTGCACAATAAACCAACATTTAGCCAGGTTTGTTTCATTTTTCTGTTTTTGTAATTGCCACACACAACTGTTAATGGAGGCATGACTTTCAGGGCTCCAGATCTGCTGAAATAAAACTTCTGAATCTCTAAAAGTTTTGTTTATAGATTTATCCTGGGGTTGCAATTTATTGTACCACCTGCCTTTTAAAATACTTTTCACCTTTAAGAGTTGTAGGAAATGTTTCCCTAAGTTCTCTAGTATTAGAGGTCAGCCAGTGATAACCTTTGGTGTCATATGCTGCTGTCGTGTTATATGGTATGGTAAATGTTTAATACTCTGTACTGCACCTAACTGTGTTGGTACAGATATATAGAATTTTTTTAACGTGGGATCAAAATCTTCCGTTTTTGCCTACTAAGTGAATTCTGTGCAATGAGAAAAACCCCAACTCATTTTCTTCCAGTAACAAAATTTATTCAGAAAATGTAGATGTTGCCACCCCAGAAATTTACTCAAGGTGGCTCACAAAGTAGATGTAAAATTATAATCATAAAAACCACATAAGAATCATGAAAACAGCATTCAGTAGACTAAATGATATTTATAAAGCATTCTGCAGGCTAGAAGCATGTTGTAAAAACAGCTTTAAATGTTAAAAGGCTGGGTGAAAGTTTTGGCACCTAAAGGACTGTAAAGTAGGAGCTAGATGAGCCTAAAAGGAGAGGGCATTCCAAAGGCCAGGTGCCACCACTGGAAAATACTGTTTCTAGAATTCTAAAATATAGCTTCTCAAAAGGTACAGGGCAGTTATTAAAGTTAGATTTGTCTAGAGTTCCTAGCAGACCATTTTCAAGCAAGTGAAGGTTTGTAAATCAGTGCTTAGTGATTTTGCTTCCTTGCTGTTTACAGTGAATTCATGAGCATATAGCCAAGCATATTCACATTTAAACTGGTTGTGACAAAAGTTAAACATTTAATGTTGCTTCCTGCTGCACTTGTAAGGATACTAATAGTGACTAGGGGGTTTTATTCCCTCTGAATGTGGAATCACAGAACTTCTATAGCCTTTTTCTGGCATTTTTACAGTCTCTTGATGCACATATCCCATTTATATATGTAAAAGGTTGTGCTAGCCTTCAAACCAGATAACACAAAGCAGTTGAATTCAACATCATGGTGACCCATTGACTTGAAATCAAGTAGTTGTGTTTATTGGGATGTTAAGACACTGGATAAACTATGGCTATAATTTATGATTATGCTGTTTGAGGATTAGGAGATGATTAGAGATTTTTGCTAGGTGGCATGAACATAGAATTTTGAGGTTTAAAGTCAGGGGGAGCACTGCAAATCTGGGATAGTTTAGACTGCAGTCATCCCCATATGTGTGGCCTCAGACTAGGCGTTAACACTGGCTGGTTTTGTAAAAAGAAATAAAATCTGAAAATAGTGACTTCCTTTAATGAAACAGTACATTCAGTTTGAATGAAAGCTCATGCAAACTAACAGCATTTGAATAACTTTGAGCAGCTTACACTAATATGGACTTTAAAACTCTGAGATGTTAGATTACTAACTTAAACATGGTTTGTTTTTTCAGACTACTTGATATTAAGAAGAACGATACAAATGTAAAGTTTCAAGTCTGCCTGGGCAAATTCTTCAAGTAGAAAGCACAAAGACTGAAAGGATATTTTTTCTTTAAAGATCTACAAAAAGTGGACACTTAGAAACTCGTATTATTTAAACAGAAATTCCACCAAGAAAATGCTTCGTAAGAGAAAGTAGAGATGTATTGCTTGTGCCTATGACCTTTTGATACGATGTCACTGAACGCCATGGGCTTTGTGGAGCACTTTTTGTAAACCTCTGTACCGAATGGGGTTAAAATTAGATTAAAATTAGAAATCTGCATTACAAAGTACATAGCGATTGTATGATGAATTCCTCTTTGGAGATCTAGACTAAGGATGCTTCCTTAGATAAGCCAAATAGAGCGGCTTCTTGGTGAAATCAAGCCCTGTTTTCATAATATGGTTGTTTGATTGGTGTTTCAAGACACTGAGCAAATACTGGAGAGAAGAAAATAGCATACCGCTTGAATAAAATGGAATATTAAGCTGTTCAGAAAAAGTTGTCTCTTTGCAATTGTCTTATTATATGCACAGCAGCCAGTAGAATTCCCCTTTTTATTTTTTTTTCCCCGCAGACCATCTTGATTCAAAACATCTATCGTAATCCCCAAAACAGTGCACAGACGGCTGACGGCTCACACTGTAAGTCCCACAGTTGGAGAAATTTTTTTTAAGAATGGTGTTAAAGAGCCCATTCCTAAATATGAGAAAAATCATGTTGGCTTCTGAGCTGCTGACATAAAGCTGTTGCAAACAGGACAAGTGACGGAACTCTTACATACTGATCAAGAATTTGCTAAATGCCTTTGGCTGTGCAAAAAGAATGGTGATCAGTAAGGACAAACGTATTGTATGTCTTGGTTCAGAACCTTTTCTATGAGGACTCAAACACTAACACATTCTCTTTTTTACCCTCTAAAAAGTAAGCACTGGGCATTTATCAAATATCTTGGTTTTTTAAAAAAATCTGAAGGTACAGGCATTTTTGCCATATACGGTAAGTTAAATTTGGGTTTGTTTCATCTTAACATTCTTAGGGAATAGAGATTTCATGACAACATTATAATTGTGTTACAGCAGAGGCTTGTTCTTGACAATTCCATGTAATAGGGATATTTATGACTTAAAGTTCAAATACAGTTTTGTACTTGAGTACAAAAACAGTACTCAAGTGCTGTTTGCAGTTTAAATTAATGCAATAATAAGTGTTGTGAAATCTCTATTTTTTAATGTTAGGGTGATTCAGAATGCTCACAAGTTGAGTGGCACATATTTCCCTTTTGGGGAGAAATAACATTCTCTCTTTCAGCACTGAGACTCCGCTAAAAGTCATCACCACAAGGAAACCAGTTTCTTGTTAAACTTATTTTCCATAATATAAAGTTGTTGCGTTTTGTATTTCAGACCATTGCCCTCTTGAACATTTACCGTAACCCTCAAAACTCTTCCCAGTCTGCTGACGGTTTGCGCTGTAAGTTCATACAAGTTCCTTCACTGGTTCCCTGGGCTTGATTGTCAGAGCTCAGTGTCAACTGAAGCTGGTCTACCATTTTTAGTTTAATGGAGCAAACTGACCACATTTAATTTAAATGCCTCAAGAACTTTTTGTCCTAATTCCCCTTACGCCAAGAAATTTTGTTTCTTCTGAAACTTTGGCTGCCTCCCATTTTATCTATATATAATGTTTTTTTAAATGAACACTTTTAAAAGTATCCTTAAGCCATTGCTGTCAATCCCATGCCTGCCACTGGTCCCCATCATTTCCGTGTTCTTGATATATATTTAATAATATACATTACTATTATCTAAAACTAGGTCATCAGCATATTTAATCCAAGCACCTTTCCAGCTGTGTAGGTGTTAAAATCATTTGAGATCTCTGCATAAGTATACTTAAAATTACTTCCTTTCTTTTAAAATCTGAAATTGTTAACTGGTGGTATTTTATCTAGTGTGGGGAGGGAGATGGGGAGTGGTGATTTGTCTCAAAATTATTAATGCTTGTACAGTTCTGAATTGCAAAAATCTACTTGTCTACTGTACACCAGTTGAAGTGAGTAAAAGGTAAAGAACTGAGCTAGTCTGTGATTTGCTCTTGAAGCAGTTAAACAATGCAATGTTAGGGAATTTATAATCATGCAAAATCTGTTGGCAGTGCTCTTTCTCCTTGCACCGCTAAACAATATGCATGTGTATGTACTTTGGGCATGGGCTAAAATTTCCACCAATCTGGTAAACTAATGCATACTTGAGCTGCACGGTCTGCTGTGGAGCTGTTTAATATTAATTTGCCAAGAGAATCACCGGCTAAAACAAATGTAGTTACAGAAGCAGATCATTTTTAAAGTCATTTAACCCATTCAGAGATATAGTTTAAAACCTGATGTCAAGTGGTAATTATGCTTAATGAACCAACGGCTTTTGGGCTTTTTAAGCATTGCATGTTACAAATAATTTGGCTAGCAAATATTTACATTGTTTAACTATTCTGTTTCCCAAGGATATTCTACAGTAGCATCAGTTGTGTCTAGTAATAGTCTTCTGGTGGTGTATTCAGCCTAATACTGCACCATTGCTTAATTTGGTTTATTTAGTTTTTTTACAGGAGAATGGTTGTATTAAGGTTCAGTACACTCACATATGGCAACAATTGATTATTATCTTAGAAACAAAAAATTAAATATTCAAATACTGCCAGTGCAATTTTGCTATTGGCACATGTATGAGAAAGTGATTAACTATTAAACTCTCTGTAGCAGATTTGGGAAGTTTGGGATAATTAAAGACATTTTTAAAAGCTTATGATGGTGTTTAGAAGGTTTTAAGTACATTGTATATAAGGATAACACAATCTGTAAATATTTAGAATGTAATTTGACATGTCCCATTTTAATTATAGTGTAGACATCAGAGTAGCTGTAGGGCAGTTGTAGCCATAGCTTCACATACATAGGCCCAATTGGCTGGTGTTCTTTTTCTTTGTTTTCATTGGATGGGTGGAAATCGATGCATAAGAAAATCCATTGAGTTCTCCCATTCTAGAATATTGCAGATTCCTTTTTGTAAAATATATTTGTGTGAAATGATTAAATGCTTTCCAAGGACTACAGGAGATGCTTTAAAGTTGTTCCATTTGATCAGGCCTTTTATCAGATGGCCACAAACAAAACTAGTTTTAAAATTGCATTAATGTGTTTTGAACTGCTGTAGAACCGTCAGTTTTTGCCATACATATTGCTTTGAAATGTATAAAGCCTTCACCTGCTTTCTTATGAAAAGGTGAACTAGTTGTTGGCAAATGCCAGCTAAGGGCAAGAAGCAACATAGAATTAGTTGCTTTAACTGTTCCAGGGAATTGTGAAAAGCTAAATTGGTTGATGAGCAAACTAGGGGGGAAAAAAACAGCACTTTGAGGAAATGAAAAAATGTTAGCATAACAAATGTGTTCAGTAAGTTGTATCGATTGTGGGCAGTTTTAATTACACCAGCAAGCAAATTTTTAGTATATTTGCTTTTAAGATTAATAATCTTGAACTTTAAATTCCCTTATAGAATGTTTTACTGGCTCCTTATTTGATTCCTGGTAATCCAAAGGTGGTTATGAAAACCTACTGCATTCAAACTAAAACAGTTGTAGCTAATCATCAGATCAGTTTATTTAGATCAAGCGAGTTTCTCCATAAATTTGTTCCTCCATTGGGATCTTATAAAACTTTTTAAAAATTGCTGTGATCTTCTTTCTTTAGAGACTTGCAGAATTTTTCATGGCTTATTCATAATGGTTAGCTGTGTATTACATATGTTTTACTCCAGTACATGGTTCTTCTGACATTTCTTTAAGAATGTTTTGTGATGTGCTCAACGTCCTTTGTATAGTTAGAAGATAGGCTCTAATTAATATGACTTGGTATTTGCAGGTGCTGTGAGCGATGTTGAAATGCAGGAACATTATGATGAATTCTTCGAGGTACGTTAAACTGAAGAATACATAGAAAAGCATTGTATAAACATGAACACCAAGCAACATTCATTGTAATTGAAATTAAAACTTCTGACACTTCTATTGAAGACAAAAGAAAACCAGTGTAAGAGTAGTTTCAATCAGACCTCTGTCAGTGTAAGGAACTGTACTATTTTTGACACTTTGATGATGATGATGATGATTTGTTGCCACTGTATGGTACATAGAAGTATCATAGCATTAGATCTTGAAAACAGTTAAAGAGTCACTGGTCATATCCAGGGGTCATTTCGTAGAAAAAGAGCTAGGGGGACTCATTAGCATATGCCACACCCCCTGACATCACCGGGATCCCTGGTCATATTTTTCTTCTGTACCCCCCCCCCCCAAAAAAAGCTGCTTCTGAGAGCCAGGCAACTATTAGAACCACCTGGAATACATTGTGGGGAGATGCTGCTCAAGGGAAGGGAGCAAGTGTAGAACAGCCTCCCCCCCCGCTTACAGGAGCAGAACTGCTGTCCATGGGCTAGTTTGGACTCAGACCATAGCCTCTTCCAGGAATACTTACAATTGGACAAGATAGGTGGAAGCAGGAAGTGTGGATTGACAAATGATAATAGATGTGCAGATGGTTTGAGACTGTGGGAGTTCAGGAGGACACTTGCTGAAGAACTTGGGCTCTTCATTTGGTGTGAATTCGAGGAAAGGCTTTAATCAAACACAAACTGTAGCATCACCTAAAAATAGCTATTAGTAGATTACAAAGAAGTTTTGTGTTTCAGATGTGAGGTAAAAGTTACCTCAGTATTTTATAAACAAATTGAAGGGTAATTTCGTGTAGAATTTGCTTTTTGAAATTGTTTGTAGCTAAGAAAAGGACCAGAAGAATGAGATTGAATGTTAAGTTTACAGCAAATAGCATCATTTTATAAGTATAGTAATGCCTATAAACTGCAGAAAGATCAACTTAATATTGTTATTTGTGTGTGTTCTAAATTCAGGAGGTCTTTACAGAAATGGAAGAAAAATATGGTGAAGTGGAGGAGATGAATGTCTGTGATAATCTTGGTGATCATCTGGTTGGAAATGTATATGTCAAGGTATGATATAAAGACAAATCTAAATGTGTTGATCAGAATGAAGATGTACTACATTGTGTATTTGAAAAAGTATGTGGAACTCTTGCAACTATTCTATTGCATAAAGATGTAAACATTTTTGAATGGTGATCCAGTGAGCCCAGCATGAAAAACAGACAAAGGAAAGTTCCCTTTTATTATTTTAAACTTTTGCTTTATGAAAAGTAGATTTCTGTTTGTCCTTAGAGCATCTTTACCATGTTTTTGGATAGTTAATCCTGACCTGTTGTCATAGTCCATAAAGGGAGAGGTGTATGTAGAACTACTACAATATTAGGATCTGTGTTTGGATCTTCTAACTGGATTTTGTACATGTATTTCCAGACTTTAGGCTGGGAAATGTACAATCCCATCCTGTATCTCAAGCTACTGCATACTAGCCACACATTACAGTTTATGCACAGAAGAGTTTTCTTAGCTCTACAGGCGAATCAGAAGCATTTTATTATGAATATAACTTTTCAAAATTATACTTACATCTCAGTGTGACTCATAATTGGAGCTGCTTGGTAAATGCTATTAAATATGCCCTAGTTTTTCCTTGCAAATCGTTTTGTAAAGAGGATGTGTTTTATTAAAATTCTTTCCATAATAAAAAGAAAGCTCTAACAGAATTATGCTTTAATGAAATGAAAGAACTTAAAGAGCAGTATAAAAGAAATTGTGTCCAGATCTATATTCTCACATCAGAATAATTAAATATGACTATCTGTGGATTGATGCTATATCTAGGGATATTCTTGAGCTAAAATTAAACTCAAAATACCATGTTGTGTTTTGACTTGGGGTGTCTGAAGTGACTCAAAACACTCTCAAAATACTGAGAGCAACACATGTTATCTCCTGGAATTTCAGAAGTTTTTCAGGTTCCAGGCTGGCACCAGAAGATACTGGGGGGAGGAGGGAGTGTGGCCCAGCTGGTCTGCAACTCATCAGCCCTTTTAAATCCCCTGTAAAGGTTTCAATAATGGCACTTTAAAGTTTAAAGTGTGCTTAAACGGCCTGATGCATTGCAGACCAGCTGCTTCATCCAGACGACAGGAGCAAGGAGGGAGGGGGATTGAGATACAGCATTCCCCAGCCGGACTGTGGGGTTGACATGGCCCTTTAAACCACCACCCCCTTTTAAGCTTAAAAATCCCCTGTGATAGTCCTGGCCTCTGGAGGGTCAGCTCTGTGGCCTTATGGACTCAGTGGGCAGTTGATCTGGCATCTGGACTGAGAGGCTGGGTGTACACCCCACTGTGGAAGGCTAGCTATGGAGCTAATTTACTGGTCTTTTCTGCTCTTGTTCCTGCTCAAGACATGTTGGTATCAGATTTTAATGCTTGCATTTATAAGAGAGCCAGCATGGTGTAGTGGTTAAGAACAGTAGACGCTAATCTGGAGAACCAGGTTTGATTCCTCACTCTTCCACATGAAGTGACCTCGGGCTAGTCACGTTTTTCTCAGAATTCTCTCAGCCCCACCTGCCTGACAAGGTGTCTAGTGTGAGGAGAGGAAGAGAAGGCAATTATAAGCCGTTTTGAGGCTCCTTAAGATTTAAGGCAGAGAAAAACTGTATAAATGTATTTATTTATTTATTTATTAAATTATATTCGCTAGGCCACCCTTCCCTAAAGTAGGGCTCAGGGCAGCTTGCAACAAGATGATATACAGTTCTAGTCTTCTAATTGCTATGCACATTGGGTAACATATTATTTTAAGAAGTCAGTTGTAGTGAAAATTGAATCTTTGTATAGTCATCAGGCTTTTGAATTTCTTAAAACTACAAAATGAAGTTTTTGCATATTGTTCTGAGTTCACTGTAGCACATCTGGATTATAAAAATTAGTATCCCATTCTGAAATATCTTGCTGTCATATCTTGATCTTTCTGTTTATGGGAGAAATCACTGCACCTCCTGGTATTGCTGAGTCCCAGAAATCTCTTCCCAGTAATTCTGTTGCCTACTCTTGTCTACATGCATGCTACATTTACCTGTATGTGTGACTTTGGGTGACAACATCATTATTCCCTGCTGGAGTCCAGTGTTTACCATGCTTTCTCCAAAGCAGAAGTAGGGTAGCTTCATATGATCTGTTGACTTCTCTTGCAGTTATATGGGTAGAAGTAATAGTTAGTACTCCATTTCATTCAGAATGTTGTGGATGATCTAGTGTTTATAGTGGAAAATCCTAAGGATTCACTTATACATCTAATGAAAGTGATAATAGAATATGGACACTTTGCAGGACTTAAAATTAATTTGAAGAAAACCAAATTATTAACAAAAAACTGCTCAGTAGATACAATTCAAGAAATAAAAAAATATCCTCGATGGAAACTGCAAAAAAATTAAATATCTTGGTATTATAATGACTGAAATAGTAATCTAATAGATGATAACTATAATAAATTCTTCACAGAAATTAAGAAAGACCTAGAGAAATGGAACCATTTACAACTTTCACTAATGGGAAGAGTGGCAACTATAAAGATGAATATATTACCAAGATTCCTTTTCTTGGCACAAAATATTCCTATTTTAAAGAAAAACAAGTGAATCACAGAAATTGACTAGATTACAAGAAAATTTGTTTGGAATTCAAAAAAATCCAGGATAAAATGGAAGTTATTACAAGACAATAAAGATAATGGAGGTCCTGGAATTCCTAATTGGAAATTCTATTACCAAGCGGCTGCTCTATGCTGGATCAAAGATTGGATCAATTTACAAAATGTGAGAATATTAAAATTAGAAGGACATGATCTAAGCATGGGGTGGCACGCATACATCTGGTATGGAAAAGACAAAATTCATTCCAACTTCCAACAACACATAATAAGAGGATTGTTGATTAAAATATGGAACTCTATAAAAGAAAGATATTATATAAGAATCCCAAAATGGGTATCACCCCTAGAGGCATTCATGAAACCCTCGTTAATCGACAAAAATAATAGAGAAAGTTATGAAACACTTTTAGAAGATAATAATGATTTGAAAAATGAAGAAAAACTGTTGCAACATAATATTCATTTATCATGGTGGCAATATTTACAACTAAAATCAAGATATACTAAAGATAAACCCCAAGGTTTTTAAAGTAACAAAAATGAACTAGATAAGATCTGGTTATCTTCCAATGATAAACTTATTCAAAAATTGTATAAATTACAACTAAGTGACTATATGTTAGAAGAAGCAATTAAACCAGTAATGACTTTATGGATAAAAGATATAGGCCATAATGGAGAAATGGAATAAAATATGGAAAACATCTAAAAGGATGAAAGCTATTACATACAAGGAAAATATCTTTAAGATGTTTCACAGATGGCACTGGACACCTGAAAAGATAGCGAAATGTTATAATAAAAATAACAATAAATGTTGGAAATGTAAAATTAAGGTTGGCATTTTTTACCACATGTGGTGGTGGTGTACTAAAACCCAGTATTGGTGGAAAATACAGAAAATTATAGCGGATATTACCGAAATAGAATTAAAGCTAGATCCAGAATGTTACCTACTTAATATATTACCAGAAGATATGAGCTATGTGGATAAAAGTTTGATAATTTTAATAATTACATCAGCTAGGATTCTTTTTGCAAAAAAATGGAAATCTGAGGAAATTCCCGGAGATAGAGAAATAATTGACAAAATTATGAATTTAGCAGAAATGGATAAACTAAGTTTGTTACTGAAAAATAAAGATGAAAATGTTTATTTGAAAAAATGGTCAAGAGTGTATAAATGGATAGAGGAAAAGATAGGACAATAGACTCGAATTGTATTCTATAATTATAAAAAACTAATAAAAATAATTAAAAAAGAATGTTGCTGAATTGAAAAGTGTACCTCATACACCTATAATGAATTCATTCTCTTTGTAGTGACTGCATACTCTTCAGCTCTGAACAGTCAGGCTACATATGATACAACCTGAAGTATTGTCATAAAATTTCTTATCCTCTTGATATAATACTTCCAAGCTAATTCTTAGATTTATTAAAGCTTTGATGCTACATTTTGTAATTTTGGGAGAGTCCAAATTAGTATTTCACGATTTCTGTAAGAAATGTTTAGTTGACTACTTGTATGGTCATTGCCCTGAGAGTCATACTGTGTAAATCAACCTGACTGGGCCAGTGAGGTAATTTTCTATATTCACTGTTGGCCCTGGAACTAGGAAGCTGCTTCAAGAATTTACACTGAACATCGATTTAGTTTCCATTGATAGAGAGACTTCATTTTTATAAACATACCTTTTCAGTTTCGACGTGAAGAAGATGCAGAAAAGGCTGTGATTGACCTGAACAACCGCTGGTTTAATGGACAGCCAATTCATGCTGAGCTCTCCCCTGTGACAGACTTCAGAGAAGCTTGCTGTCGCCAATATGAAATGGGGTAATTAAACAGTCTTCTAGTGTGCTTTCTGATTGTTTGCTATGCTATGGTAACATTTACTAAGTTACTCCAGAGAGCATAAATACTATAACATTTCCTTCTTCAAAACCTGCCCAATTACCTTTTTTTCAGGGAGTGTACACGGGGAGGTTTCTGTAACTTTATGCATTTGAAACCCATTTCTCGAGAGTTGCGACGTGAGCTGTATGGCCGCCGCCGCAAGAAGTAAGTATCTTTGTTTTGAAAGCTGCCAAGAGCATATTTAAAAACACATTCATTTGTTTTCAGTTTTGGTTCAAGCAGCAATATTGAAGTGATACTGAATATTACCACCTTCACTAATTTGTCTCTTGATGATGCTGTAAACTGATGTAGAGTCATAAATTAATGGCTTTTTGGTCATTTCACCTCACATTTCAATTAATATTAATAGTGAATACAAATAACGTCTGCCTAAGGGTTAGCTGTCCAACATTTGAAAAGTTGCTGCCATATAATTTCTTATGGAAGTTGCAGCCTGATTTGTTTACTGCACAGGTGGTGGTATCATAATTTTATGGTTGAAGAGCATAATTGTTAACAGAGAGCTAAGTAGAATTGACCTATTGGTCCAAAAGCTATTCAGTTGTGGTACAGCAAATTTGATATTTGCTAAACCTGTTGCTTACTGTGCCTTTTAAGATCTCAGAGATTGGTACTGATGGTGGTCCCTGTATAAAGAATGTCAGCTTTTAACAGTCAGGCCACATCCATGAAAATAACTTCAATACTGCTATTGGACAGAAATCACTAAATTATCAGCAGGCTGATATACTAAGAAACTGTACAAAACTAAGTAAGAAACTAAATTAGGGTGTTTTCATGTAGCGGGTAAATATGCAGATCAAAGGTAGCAGGGAGCAGAATAGGCATACTTACGTGATTAGTGTCACAATGTAACTAATAGTAAAGCAGGTTTCCAAAGGATTGTCTCAATGTAAAGTCGATATTGTTTGTAAAAGTATGCCAGGTTGTATATTCCTGGTAAGAATGTTGACTTCTTAAAACATGGAGGAAAAACTTAATGGATGGGTTCCTGCTTAGAAATTTTGCAGGCATATGGAGTAGGGGTGCCAATTTCCTCTGTACTGCAAGAGCCCAAAGTGCTGTTCCTGAAGAATAATGGACTCTCCAGCAGTAGGTTTGGTGGGAATAACAAGTGTCCTGAAGCAAGGAGGAATTGGTGAAAATTTCCATCCTCTTTGCACTCAAGGAAATGTTTAGGCAGGATCTAAGCCTGTATAATATTAGCTGCTGTTGATTTCTTTAAAACATGTTGCCATACTAAAATCATGTTTGCAGTTGTTTGAAAGCAGTGCAGGGGAAGAAATTGTAGTGGCTCTTACAATATACAAAAGAAGCAGTGCATGCCTCTTTAACCAGGTGAAGCAGTCTTCAGAGATGAGATTATTCTGTCATTTCAGCCAAAGGGGCACAATAATAATTCATAAAGCTAAGGAACCATCTGAACATGGCCACAAAGTATGGCGCTAAAAATATGTAAAATGGGGGGTCCCCGCAAACTCTGGGGGAACCTTAAAATTTGTGGAAAAATCCAAACAGTGAGACAGTGGAGTTTTTTTAAAAAATGCCAAGCAAAATCTCAAGGCCAGCATTATGGGTTTGCCTAGCAACCCCATACAACCTGGTACTCAAAAGTGGGGTGGGGGGTGCCCAGGGGAGGAAGGGAAGAGAACTGTGAGGATTGGTGGAGGAGGGGGAAAAGTCTTTTAACACTGTTTTAGTCTGGAACTTCCCTTTTAAGCTGTCAGTGATCTGTTTTTATGGTAGATTTTATGCTGAGCTTGAGTTTTAATGCTGGCTTTTAATGTTTTGTTCCAGTGGTTCCTGGAAATGTGGGATAAAAATGTTCTAAAATGAACAGCAAGAAGGCAGGGGGGTGGCAGAGAGAGGGGAGGAAGGAGAGAGAGGCAGTATGAGGAAGCAAGGAGGAGGCAGAGAACTGAGGAAGCAGTGGGGGGGGGATGTGGTGTCTGCATGGGGGCTTTGGGCAGATGGGATTTCACTTTCCCCACCAGGACTTATATATTAGCAAATGTTTGTATAACATTTTCTAGCAGGTAAGCACTACTCTAAAAGTTTTCTAAATGTTTCACTGTTCACCTATGTTAAAGCTACAGGGAATTCTATGTAGTTGTAACATCCTTAAATTGTGTAGGTTTTTTAAAAAAGAAATTCAGTATTTCTGTTTCTGCCATCACTACCTAGGTATTCAAACATCTTGCTACATGCACAATCCAAAACCATTTCTCCTTGCATTCATTTTTTCCCTGCCAGGCATAGATCCAGGTCAAGGTCCCGTGAGCGCCGGTCTAGATCCAGAGATCGTGGTCGTGGAGGAGGTGGTGGTGGTGGTGGTGGAGGAGGAGGAGGAGGCCGAGAGCGTGATAGAAGGCGGTCAAGAGATCGTGAAAGATCGGGACGATTCTGAGCCATGCCATTTCTACCTTGTCTGTTAGAAAGTGTTGTAGTTGATTGACCAAACAGTTCATAATGGAAATTTTTTTAAAAGATGGGCTTCTGAATAAAAATTTGTATTTATACAGTTCCTTTTTTTTTTTTTTTTGCATAACTGGTTTCTTATGGAATAATCTATCATTTCTCTGACAAACGACTGGGGTAGTAATTGCAATGTACTGCAGATCAGCCAGTTTCTGCATTGGTATAAGAATGAAATTGTTTGTGTATATAATATAAAATATTATATATACTAACAATTTCATCCATATTCAACTATATTATATACATGAAAATATACTTAAGTCATTTTAAGTTTCCTTCTTTTGTCTGCTTATTTAGGTTAGTTTAGGCACATCTAAAGAAAAGAACATTTCTTTAATCAGTCAGAATGCTTAGTTGCATAAAAATGTATGTTTCTTTCGTTAATAAGAGATTTGTGCTCTGTGAATGTGACATTTACAATAAATCCAATTTTTGACTTAAAGCCTATTCTGTAGGCCCTCCTGAGTAGTTTAGTTGCTACCATATCAAATTTTAGTAGTTGTTTTGTTTACATGCATAACCATTTTAGCTGTTTTTCAAAAGTGGCGTATTAAAGCAAAGGACAAGGAGTCGTGAAGATCTTACTACAGCATCACTGTAAAATAAGACATCTTTGGATGAATTGGACGATGTGGGTTCTTAGTCCAGTTTTTAAATTTACAGGGTGATTAGCTGACAACACATTTTCTTCAGTAATCTGTGGAACAGCGGAATGATGCTGGAACTTGAAATTGCAGCAGCGGCATGACTGCCATCCAGACCAATACCTCCACAATAGCTGGGTTTTTCCCCCATGGTTATATCTAGTAATGCAAAACACATGACACATCACCATGCTAGGTTTCCTACCCTGATGCGTTTCATTGGCTATTGCTTGTGGAAAACTAGGATGTCATGTAACACATTTTGTATCACTAGATGGTGAGAACGAGGTAACCCAGGGCTACCATTTTCAACAGCAGCCATACATTCTCTGTGATCTATAGTGTCATACTTTTTGTGTACCACAAATCAAAATTTGTCCCTTAAAGGGGAAAAAACCCTCCAATTTACAAAACTTTCTCTGATTGTTTACTGTGGGGGGGGGGGGAGACGTTTCTTTACAAAAAGCATCGTTCATCTAAAAAGCCTAGCAATGACAGTGGCTGGAAACTTTAAACCTAAGATTTTCATGTAGCCTAGAGCCATAGGTGCTGCTGCTTCTCAGTCACACTTGCTGACGCCTTGGATTCCTGAGACTCCTTACATCATGTATTCTGCCGTTGTTTTTTTCTTCCTCAGTCCTAGTGGGTACCTCAGGACTGGCACATGTGAGGGCTTTTCCTTCCTTCTGACACCCTCCGCCTCAATATATAATTATGTAGATAAAATCTCTGGTCTGCATAGAGTGCTGTTGCTAATTCAGTTCACTCAGAACTAGGTTCCATTTAGTTGGGGCAGTACTGAACAAGAATATTCAGGGTGGCAGCCAATTTGTAACTGAATTCCTAATATAGCAATACTTTAATGATTAGCATTTTCAGGTTAAAATGCTTATTTTAAACAGTACATTTCAAAGGTTTTAGACTTGAGCCTACAGTTAATTAATGGAAGTTATTGCTGTCTTATGCCATACTGATTTGACTTTACTGAGTTTATGGAACATTAATTACATTCTTTAAACGATGAATTTGGCTTGCATATTGACTAGATTACAGTTGAAACTCAAATTGGTTAAATAAAGCTGCTAGAAAATTAACCATTCCTGACTTCTCACCCTGTATGCAGATTAAATTGATTTTTAGTCTTAGCCTGCACATCTACCTAGAGACTATGAGAAAAGGCATCCTATAAATTAACAACTTTGGTCCAAGTATTTGGTTGGTTGGTAGATCAGTCAGAGACCCAGAGTGGTGTAGTGGTTAAGAGTGGTGGCCTCTAATCTGGAGAACCAGGTTTGATTCCCCACTCCTCCACATGAAGCCTCCTGGGTGACCTTGGGCCAGTCACAGTTCTCTCAGAACTCTCTCAGCCCATAAAAAAGCAAAACTCAGACTCACAAGGTGCCTGTTGTGGGGAGAGGAAAGGAAGGCAATTGGAAGCCACTTTGAAACACTAAGGTACTATAAAAGCCAACTCTTATTTTTCCTATAGTGGTATAGTAAAATACTCCTAAGTACAGCTCTGCCTTGAAAATGGGAGTAGGCCCCGTAATTGCTTAGGTGACCAACAGTGCCATCCTAGATGGAAATTATACCATTCTAAATCCATTGACCTCCATGGGTTTAGAAGGGATACAAATCTGTTTAAGATTGCACTGTGAGTTACTTAAACTTCATTTAACAGGTACTTTAAAAGGAAAGGACTGACTGTCTTTCACTTAGTGTTTATACTGAACTGAAGCTGGTATTTTTATAATCTAGAACTGTGGGTGACTCGGTTTCTCCTCGTTATGGCCTGTGATGTACCAATCTAATAGCTTTTGTGATACCTCATTTATCATAGGAAATACTCCTGATGAAGTGGTAACCAATACAGTTTTTCAGCTTGAGTTGCTATTATGATTTAATTGAAGAAGTAAAATGAAACCATGGCTTTAAGAAAAGCACCCATTCAAATGAGGCTTGAAACAAGCAATAGTGTTTAGAATCTAGTAGATTTTTGTTGAGGCAAAACTCAACAAACTCAAGATGGCATGCACAGGGTTCCCAAGAAGTTAGCCACTGAAGAAGTGCCAGTGATCATCAGACACCTGTTTTGCTTCACCAATATTGCTGTATGATGTCACTTCCAGCCATACTTTGGGACCTAGTGCAATCATGGGCAAATAATCAGGTTCAGTTTCACATTTGTGAAATGTGAATAGATCTCTGGAGTTATTATTAGTGCAAAAACCTTTTATAAATTTTTAAATGTCCACTACAATCAGTGGTATTAAAATATTTTTATGCATGACTACTGGAGCTTGTTTTTTACATGTCTTAATACTGGGTATGCTTAATATGCTGTGTGAATTGCCAAATGTGTGCCCTAACTGCGACTTAATCTTTGAAAAGAGGTAAATTGCATGACTGAGGAAAAATACTGCTACTGGGGGTTCCCAAACATCTTTTTCTCCCATTGCTTGGATGTATACATGCAAATGGGTTGCCTCAAGTACAAATTGCAGGCCTACACCTGATTTCTTTCATATACATTATTCTCCTGTAAAGTAGCTTAGACCGAGAGAATGACTGGTCCATGGTCACCCCAGGATCAAGCTAAATTAGGATTTAGGATCTAGATTTAATCCAACATGATACCACACTGGCTGTCATATTCTGCACATGCTCTCTTCTACCAGGTTTTCCATATATCCATTCAGAATCACTCCCCATTCCTTCTTTAAAATCCTATAATGGAATTAAAAGACTGTTGTATTTGAACAGTTCATGTGATAATCAAGGCTTTCATTGTGACACAAGAGAGTCCTCAGGGGGCTGAGAATTTTTATAAAAATACAGCACCCTAGCTAAACTATACTCTCCAAAGGACTACCTCTCCTGGCGAAAAGCCATAAGCCAGCTTAAAGGTAAAGGTTTCCCCTTGCTTGAAAACAAGTCAAATCTGTCTCTAGGAGGGGGTGCTCATCTCTGTTTCCAAGCTGAAGAGCCAGCGCTGTCCAAAGACTTCTCCGTGGTCATGTGGCCAGCATGACTAAATGCCGAGGTGCACGGAACGCTGTTACCGTCCCACCAAAGCGGTACCTATTTATCTACTTGCAATTTCTTGCTTTCAAACGGCTAGCGCGGAAAGTGCTTGCTTGCTGTTCCCCCTCAAGATGGTAGGATGGTCTTCAGCCAGGGCTCAGCCCTTACCCTTGGGATGGTGTACCAGAGGACTGTTTTGAAGGGATTCGTTTCTTGTGCCAGAAGGATGTATGTTAGTTGAAGGTTGCTCTTTTGAGGCCTTTGCGGTCTCTGGCATTTTAACATTTTGGTAATTGCATATTTGGTATGTTTATGTTTAATGTGTTTTTGTAAGTTGCCTTGGCCCCTTTGGAGGGAAAGGCAGACAGAAATTAATTCTGTGGATGGAATTCCTGTGGGTTTCTCCTTGCTGCAAACAGTCTGAAAATAAAGAGGCAGTAGTATTTACTAATCCCCAGAATGATGGTGGTATAGTATGCAAACATGGGCTGTTACTTGGCATGACTTAAGACTTGTCACCAAGGGTGCAATAACTCCGTTTTCTTCTCTCTCAAAGTGGCACACCCAAAGTGGCCACATGTCTGGAAAGGTACTAGAGACACATACTGCTTATTGGAAGAATTAAGCACAGCCCCCAAGTTCCTTCCATGCATCACAGCTGGCTCTGATACATTTTTTTTAAAAGGAGAGCAATAGATATCCCCTGATGTTTGGTCACTCCATTGATCTCTGAAAGATCAGCAGGCAATGTATGTGCACATAAGGGCAAGACAGGTAAGAAATCTCTTCCTCTCCCCTGCAACTAGGTTTACCTCTGCCTTAGCCTCCTGTATGATCAGGCCCAATCCTAAACAAATAGTGGGCGGTAACCAGCTATTTACCAATCCCATTGTACAAAAGGGTAGATAATTAATCTAGATTGTTTTGTTTCGAATATTAACCTTTTAAAATTCTGCTAATTTGTTGTAGAGGTTTGCAAGAAATTTATTCCCCCCCCCCGCAATATCCTCTCTATTTTCCACTGTTTCCTAAGCACAATATTGTTTAGGCAGTTGTATTGGTACCATTGCATAATTGGTGTCTGCTAGAGAGTTGTGGTAGGCTTGAGGAGACTGTGATTTCAGTCACTGCTTGCAGTTATATTTACTGGGTGACCTTGGAATAGTCCCCCTCAGCCATACCTACCCTCACAGGTAGTTGTGAGAAGGAGAGGAGTCCCTGGGTTCCTTCGAGGAAGGGTGGGAGTAGTAAATAAACATAACTATGCTTTTCTTTTTACCCTTTATGAGTCTTATTTGGAGCATCTGTTACTCATGCCCTTTTGGTACTTGCTGTTTTCAAGTGATTTTGAACACACAAATTCCTGTGAAGCAGCTTTATATCCTGTTCACCTCTGCTCTACATCTTGACAGCGCCCATATGATGTAAAGTTGCACTGGACACATGTACGGACACTGTCATATTTTACTAGGAGACCATTGTGAAAGCCACTATCAACCTTATTCCCCTCTACACCCTCCCATCTGGAATCCAACC